AGCGACTACTACCAGGTCGGGGTGCTGGCTCGGTTACTCTTACACCAGATACAATAGTGTTTAGTGCTGATTCAATAATTAAGAATAAACGGGAGGGGGTGGGGAACAACTGCAATTTCACGTTAGAAATGTGAGCATTGTTAAGGGTGATTGGTTGTTTATTGAAGAGTTTATCACGCTCCGGGGAACTATTTTCCGTCCGTAAACAGGTACCAATTCCGATCCACTGTGTTAAATCTATAGACACGAGTTCACTACCAATGCCTCCATTAAGGCAATATTCACTCTTTGGATATAGTATTCCAGTTCTAAATACCTGATGGCTGAAAAATTAAAAGTATCTGTGGGGTTGAATGGATAAATATTCTTGAGAGTGGAGAGAGTATTCTTGCGGTTAACTAAAGTGAACCCACTGATATTCAGACCAGGTTTTCATAAACTATGCACTCCGCCGGGTTCTAATACAAAGGGGCTGCGATCACGACGGCCAAAGCTTGAGCCTTCTTAAACCAAATCTATCATGAATTCCGGTTTGGCTGAATTACTTATGCTACCACTGACAACGGACCGCTATTATGTGGATGGGTGGACGAATCACGGTTACCTTCAGACATCTTGTCGAGTTACTCAGTGATTGTGAAATGTAACAGTGTATTCGGCTATTTGAGACATACATACATACACACACACAAGGTGACGGAGGGTCTTGATACCCATGCAGTGCATCATGGACGATGGCAGGCAACGAACATACCAGCTTGCAACACAATGGTAGCGGGGAGCGGTATTTCAAGGGCTGATGTGTTATGCATCACTGATGCGACCGTCAGCATTTTATGATGATGCATTATTCTCGTTCCCAATCGAGCAAAAACCTAACAGGAATATGATGAAAACAACTGCCCAGATAGGACTAGTGAGTGATCAATCTTCGAAATACTGTCCACTGAGTAAACCTTGGTTATTCGTATATCCCCTTTCTTTTTAAACTTTGTCACGGAGGATGTTTTACGGAATGCTTTATCCGGTCCAGCAAACGGTGTAGTCAAACTCCTCCTCCTAGGGGAACAGAGTTCTTGACTTAGAATAGGCTGTTGACATCGTCGTGTTGGGTCCAACATGTTTTGAACCGCATGGCGATCGAGGTATCCGAGTATGGTATATGATTTTTACTACAAAAGTGCAAAGTGCTTGTACAAGAATGGCAGGAGCATGTGCCTGCATTCACCCTCTGTGATGATCAGCCAGAAGTAGTTGAGAGCTTTAAGTACCTCGGGAGTTTGATCGCAGCTTGTGATGGTGTTGGAGAGGAGATAACATCACGAATAGCGAAAGGTAGAGCAGCTTTTACCAACCTGCGACACTTGTGGCGCCGCCATGATATCCGACTGTCCATTAAGGGAAGAGTGTACATCGCCGCAGTTCGTAGCGTTTTGCTTTACGGTTGAGGGATCTGGCCTCTCCACGTGGAGAATGCTAATCGACTTTCTGTACTCCACCACCAATGTCTCCGAAGCATTGCCCATATCTTTAGGGAAAATCGGATGAACAATGACATCGTTCATCGCCGTGTATTGGGTGTGAATAGTCGTTCTCTAAAAGTAGTAATCGCTCTACACCGCCTCTGATGGCTTGGCCACATTTGTGCATACCTGCTCGTTGGCTACATTTCCGGGCTCTTTTAGCTGGTGCCAGGCAAGCTGGAAGAAGCGCAATGGCAGTCAGACCGTAGAGGTATGAAGAAGCTGGCTTCGGTTGGTGCAGCTCGCTTTCCAGGTTGGGGCCCAAGGCATGAGGATAGTCGTTGGTTAGAGACTCTGAGAGATATGGCCCAGAGCAGAAGTTAGTGACGCCAAAACTGTACGGTCTGCCTGTTGAAATCCCGTCTCCGGTAAAAAGAAACGATAGAGCAACACAAAAATATCAAGAAGTGTACGGTGAAACACATACTCAAAACTGGCAATATTTTAGCCTTTATTTCACTGTGTTCTATATTCAAATCTACCCATTCCCTATTTCTGTTATTATTGTTGTGGTGTTGGCAACATACTTGTCCGCAAGCCGATGATTGGTCATACAAGGCTTTGGAAGACTATAAGATAAGGCGAATATGATTCTCCACCGATATCGTTATTATTAATATTATAACATTCACAATAAGATAACTCCGTTTGTACAGGGCTGGGTGCGCATGATAGAAAGACGTTTAAATAATCGCATTCAGCAAAGATTGATCGTGATTAGTCTCTCCAGACAAACTCCTCATCACTACGCACATGTTAGTTTTGTACATGTACGTTGGTTCTCCTCTATGGGTACATTTCCCGCTTGTAAAATTTGCCGAGGAAAGGGTAAGATCATTAAAGGACTCATGAAAATATAATTGATTCATCACATGTCTAAATGGAGTTAGTACAAATTAACATAAGAATAACCGGAATGTTCCGATTCCTTGGAACTGCCAATAGTAATTAACAAATTAATTGATCGCTTACATTCCACAAGTCAGACGTTTAAAATAGTATCTAGATTTTTTCACCTATCAAACGGAACAACACATGACCCCCGTTCTGGATAGACAATCTAACCGGATGTGGTCCCACTACCACTAATATTGTGAACTGTTTAAACAAAGATTTCTAATGAGAATGAGCGGGCTGTTTCAATCAGGACCAATCCGCGTAAGCTGCATAATGCTATGGAGACCCCAGTAAATTCACATTGCGTTAACTTCGTGCTATGATCGAGTGCATATTCCGGTCCAAGGCAAACCAGGTTGGACCTGTTACTGAAGCTTCGGGTTTTTCGGCCTTTGTTTTACGTTGGATAGACCTCGGACTCTGTTTCCGCTGGGCGTGGGTGAGACTTCAGTGTAAACTTACCTGGTTCTGCCTTCCCCCTGAACAGGTATCGTTGCAGATGGTCCGAGTGTCTTGCATCGATTGCCCTCCAAACGTGAACAATGAAACGTGGTCAATATATTTGCCTCCCCTGTAAACAAACGCTAACAAACGAACGGTGGTATTAATTATACTGGTGACGAAACGAGAGATGCGCTCCACGTAGGGCGCACGTCACACAGGTCGAACGGATATAAATTCTCCCGATTCTAACAACTGATGATCTGTACCAGTTACCTTGTCGTCAGTGGTTTAATCATTCTCATCAGCATGCCTTGGACCGTATGGTCCGAAGTTCTAGCCTCGCCACCGCAACCCAAATTTGGTGGCAGCCACCCCTGCTGTCGTTCAGTTCAACGCTACGTCTAAACTAACGGGGCCTTATGTTGTCGGCCACACCAAGTCCCTGGGCTAAGGTTAACGATTTTCACCAAAGAACAGCAGGTTTTCGTGATTATGAGGCTCATCTCGTCTGCTAATCATCACCAAATGTGTCATCAAAAAAAACACAAGTCTGATGTTGATGCATCTCTGGCGGTGTTTATTCTTCTCCTGCTGCGCAAAATGGTAAACCTGGCAACCTTTGTGTTCGACAGTCTACTGATGCATTTAATCGCACAAAGTCGAAGGAAGTATTTAACTTTTAAAATATTTCATAGAAGGAGTTCGTCGTGCAAAGAGCAAATGAAACGTGAACAGAAAATCTAAGATGCACTACTGGTCAGCTGTTTCGACTTAGTTGGGTCTCATCAGTAGTGCGCGAGTCCATCGACCCAACCGGGGATCGAACCCGGGACTTCAGAAGTAGAATGCAAGCATGATAACCATTCAATAACCGGGCAGCTGAGTATTTCGGTCAAGTTGCAAGTGGTCTTCATAAATTTTCATAAAGGAAAGTCAAATTTTATAATCTTGGTATACCATCGAGTGAACAGACTTGATTCAATGCGTTATGAACAATTGACTTAATGCATGCATGCATCTAGACAAGACAATACACTGCGCTAAGATTGATTCGTATTATAACTATTATGTTTTCAATTAGTACTGATAGTATCTCTTGTAGAGAAACTGGGTGAACCGTATTGCACTTAGGGCAAGTATCATACTACGGGAATAAATGCAATATCCTTACAGGTATTGTCTGAAAACTGATTCACCGCGGTATTAATGATAGTGCACATTGTAAAGGCTGCGCTATGTTCATCACGCATAAGTCTGCTCTCCTCTGGGACAACTACTGGGTACCGTAGATGGACAAATGCACAGCAAAGCCATTAATCCTGGGAATATGGGTAGCTGTGTGTGTGTGTTTGTGTGTGTGTGTGTGTGTGCAGTATTTCATCGTCTTATGCGTTCTAATTTAGGGGCATGGACGCACACGCATACACAGGCAAAAATGGGCGGAGCGATTCTCAACATTAGTGGCCTATGCATCGGCGCTAGATCAAAGCTTCCCGGGGAAAGTAAAGCTTCGAAAGGGACCTTTCAAGGTGTTACATGAGAGTATAGGAAGATTTGATTCAATTTCACAGGGAGAATGTTTCTTGTACAGAGTAAATGAAGCCATACTATGTAAATGAAAAATGAAAAGCGGTCTGCCCAGCTGCCCGATTATTGAGTGGTTATCATGCTTGCAATCTACTTCTGAAGTCCCGGGTTCGATCCCCGGTTGGGCAGATGAGTTCACTCTGGTGCTGACGACACCCAACCAAGTCGACACAGCTTTACAGTGCATCACAGATTTTCTGTTCACGTTTCATTTGCTCTGTACACAACGAATTCCCTCTATGGAACTTTCGAAGTGTGCTTATTACTGTATGCCGCAATAAATAAATAGACTGTTTATGCCTCCTGGAAGTTCCTGTGAAATTCATCACCGGTGACAACGTGGTAGAGAGTCATCTCATATCGATTTACAGTTCGCGTGTCCGAATCCCATGGGAACCATGTCAGTTTCTCACTAGTTCACACCTATAACACAGTCTTGGATTGATCGGTATAAATTATAGATGTGCAGATGTACATCCAATAAAAAGGAATTAAAACATGAACTGAGAAACGATAGAATAAAATGCGTTATTTAGTGGCTCACCAGCACCAAGAATATTCGTCTGCACCCCGTTGATCAAAGTAGCATGTGCCAGTTCCAGCACGGACGGTTCAGTGTCTGTTGTGGTTTCCGGAGCCGTTGTCGATGTGCTAACCGGTTCAATTGTACTCGCAGGCGGTGTAGTGATATCCATTTCCACTTGGACACCAGAGGAGGTAGCAGATCGACGTCTGCGCGAACCACTGGATGCTTCACTGACCACTTTGACCACACGAATGTAAGAACTGGGGATCTGGTGGGACAAACACGTTTAGCCGTATGGACATAGGTGAGTTTGGGATAAGAGAGTAATTAAGCCACACATAGCCAGGCAACAGAATGGGGGGAAACAAATAACCTGACAACAGTGTGGATAATAATAGCAGAAGTCGTGGTCACCTGAAGCGGAACGCTTCCATACACACGATTGAATTGTGTTCTTTTGCCCATTGTTTCTACCATCAATATATCCGGCCATTCAACGAGCAATGCTGTTCAACCACATGAACGTAATTGAATATGAACCAGCCGTTCGGGTTCAACACCTTTCGTTCGTCATTTGAATCGCACGTCTGGTTGAAAGTAAAAGTGTTTTGTTTGCATTCACTTGCATATACATGCACAATAGGCACGTTGTTTGCGCACTGTAAGCACCGCATTTTACCGCTTTTTCACGTCTATTTCTTGACTGCTCGAGATTGTTCAATCACGCTTGTTAAAAACACTCATGTTTTACTAGACTTTGAGCACAGAAAGCTTTCCCATCTTACTGGTTCAGATGAAAATCACATGCTGTTGACATTCTCGAGTGTGCTCAACAAGAGGGATTGAGCCGCTTTTAAGTTGAACTTTGATCGAGGATTGCGCGTTTTTTTCCTTCAAAGTTATTCCAAAATACCCACAACACTGATTCAGACTGTGAGTCATAGTTTTAAATGTGAACATAATCTGAGACAGACTGGTTCAGTTCAGTTCAGTTTATGCAACCATTAACCATGCACTTTCCTGCGCCGGTTTTGTTTTTTGTCTGTTGGCTGCCCATTTGGATGAAGAATAGGAGAAGACAGGAAAGTTGAAGGTAGGAGTCGAACAGAAAATAGAGAAGTTCAGTGGTCTAAGTTTGCAAAGAACTCGAGAAGATGCACGAACGCCATTGTTTACGACACTCAGCCATATCCCTCAGTGTCTCTAACCATCGGGTATGAGCATCCTGAGGTCCTCAGCCAGGGAGCCCATCGGGACCTCTGTGGCCCAGCTCCCTGGTTAGTGTTTTCATACCCTCGTGCCAGGTCTTGGCTTGACCACCTTTGAATTTATTCCACACACTATCTTCCTTGGCGAACGCCGCTCGTCGTGGCAATCTATTCGGTGGTATGCGTAGCACACGCCCCACCAACGTAACCTATGGAGGTCGACCACTTGTTCCAGTGGGCGACCAAGGTTACCTAAAACTCTACACCTAACCTCAGCATTGCTCGTCCGGCTGTTCCACCAGATTCGTGCAATGATGCGTAGGCAGCGGTGTTCAAACACTGGGATCGAAGCGGAAAGCCGAGAGTGATAAAGGTTGTCTTTTAATGTTTTGTACCAGTGCACCATATCGGAGACTTACCAAAGACAAGAGACATTCCATCTGCATCTTTATAGAAGGCGATCGCATATGAAATCCACATGTCCCGGTATGATTCCAGGTTATGCCCCAAAAAATCCAGATATCCATATAAGATGTTGACTTCATCAGAGCATGTTATTGATTTGAGCTGACTATCCTTCGGACTTCACCTTCACGCACAATCCTCGGTTCATCGATTCAAACATACACTCGGAAGCACTAGACTCGAGTTTCGCTGTTATTAGAGCTCTTCAGTAGTGCATATCCGCCGTCCCGTCCGGGATTTGAACTCCGGACCCATCTCATGGAAGGCGTGTGACTTACCACTGTGCCAACCAGCTCATACCATGGCTGAACCCAATAGCCAATTCATGTTTGTTCAGGTGTCGTCTTCAGTTGTAATCAGTTCATTTGGCACGATAGAGTTAGCAAACAGGCGTACAATAAACCTAAGCTTTGAAGCGAGGTCTGGATGATCATTCAGTACGAAAATTCTGCTAACTCCTGTTGAAGAAGCATCGATAACGGTAGACTGTGTTGTGGGATCTCTCAGTTCTAAAGGTCCCCCAAAACTCATGACATCTCAGTCGCTTATCTTGTGCGTACACCGCTGTATGGATCATAAGAGCACTTTCACTCCCCCCGATCCGGCCATGTTTAAATTTCTTCTCATTTTACTTCCTTTTTTTGAACCAACAAAGACAGAATTTTCAGGAAGGGGGAAGCGGACATTCAAAGAGCTGCCATTCAGCAAACATGGTGGGGAAATTCAGGCGGTGGTAGCTCGAACGTACATCCTCCGGGGTGATAATCTGGTGACGTTACCACCGGGTTACCATAGCCCGCAATCGTGTCTCCCATTAAATAATCTCTTGTTTTCCTCACTTATGAAATCTTAACCAGGTATATACAGAGCCACCATTTACCTCCTATGCTTACCGGTTGATAGAATCTGCCTATTCTCGAAAGTTGACATGGAAACCGGTGCGAGTAATGACTCTTTGTTGACTGTGGTCTGACTGTATTGCCGATTGAACATCCCGACACCTTGTTTTCATCTCAGTTTGACAGTCATACAAAAACCCGTAAGAAAGGACCAAGAACTTTTCTCAAAATCAAAGTATAGTGGAACCGCACCTGAGGTCGTTATGGTGTAAGACACCCTTAATCAGTAACTCCGGAGTTCTTCAAGGAGCTGTGCTCTCCCCATACTTATTTTCCACGTACATTTGTGATATTTACTGTGTTTCTCCTGCACGCATTTTGAAATATGCACATGATGTTGTGCTGTGCCAACCAATTTCTTCTTACTCCGATCTAAGCTTCTTCACCGACAACCTTGGTTACATTCAGTCATTATCCTCCCAATCGGGGCTCACCTTAAACCCCAGTAAATTTGTGGAATGTCTATATAGTTTTACACGCTATTCATATCCAACAGACACCACAGTGACAAATACCAATCCTATATTTAGAGTGAACTCTGTCAAATATATTGGCGTAACTATAGGTAGCAATCTTCGTTGGTCAACCTATATCCACAACAGCACTGGTAAACGTAGGCGCCTATCATTTCAAAATCGAAAGATTAGACAGTTTCGCGCACCCCAGTCAGTTATTTCTGCATTTGCCTATCGGTGTGTTTTCCCATCTTACTTTATTGTTCTCCAGTTACTTTTCCTCGCTTAAACTTAAACAGGATTTCAAAGTCTTACGCCGTAGTCTAACAATTATTAGCCGCGTTTCTTCTATTCCTGTGAATGAGTTAGTTGTAAAGCTTTCACAGCATCATATAACTCCCTATGCGAAATCTGCGGAGTGGATTCTATCAGATTCTGACCACCCATGGCACGCAGAACTGACACGTTGTCGTTCCCATCATTGCACACGTTCTCGAAACTATGTTCAGTACCGTGGCTTGATTTGGCCTGAGCTGATTTGCTGCCGCTATAGATAGCTTGGCTAGCTTCCCATTGGGCAGGTGTGGGCACTACGCTTGCACGCTGTCTGTTTCCGGTTTGACTATGCAAAAAAATTAGATCGATGCGCATCGATCATTCCGACACCATTAACCGTGTTGATGCAAACCCAGCAATTAGAAGAGCACAGTGATCATATTGAAGAGCAGTGAAAAACCTATTTAGTTCCAGATTTTTAACTTGATGGAGTATGTGGAACTGGTGACGTATAATGATCTGTTTTCTAACACAATTAAACATTGCAACAGGGGAAATACAAACCACATTTGTAAATGTGAAATTGATTCTGCTCCCCTACCTTCATCCCAAGCCAAACAGATTCACTTACTTTTTTATGGGAGAAATGGAGAATTTGATTTGTTTTTAATGATGAATTCGTCATGCAAATGAGGCGTGAGCTGAAAAGCTGGAAAGCACTGAACAGCTGTTTCAACCTGGTTGGGTCTCATACGTGCAGTAAAAATCCATCGACCCAACTGGAGATCGAACCCTGGACGACGAATTCATCATCAAGAGCAAATCATTTCTCTCATAAAAACAAGTAATCACGTTGTGAAAGTGAAAGTTTACAACCAAGTCATATACCTGGAGGCTAGCGCTGAGATGGACGAGGACCGATACTAGCAACAATCTCGCATACATGGGCTGTGCTATATCGTGTAAATTCCAAATAGAAAGGGTTTGATCAGTTGTCCGGTGGCCTGGTGGGTAGCATGCTTGCGTTGATGAGACCCAACCAGATCAAAACAGCTGTCCAAAGCTTCCCAGCTTTTCAGCTCACGCCTAATTTACACGACATATTCATCATCAAGATTCACTTACCCCCAAAAATGTGGCCAAATTGTTAACCACATTAGATCCGAAAAACTCTTCCTCAGTCATAGCTGGCAACCCGAATGACAGTTTGATCACCTGCTGTAGACGAATTTCCAACACCGAGGGACCATTGATTACAACATAGAGCATTTGTGTTGTCTCGTTGAAATAGTTCATTCCACTCGCGTTTTTGGCCGGATCGGGCAAATACTGGCCAGAATAGGTGGGTACATTTGTAACCACCTGACCCTGATCGATAAAAGGTTTTACAAAATAAAAAATATATGTGAGAATGTGCATCAGTAGAAAACGACAATTTAAGTGATTTTGAAAGGATCAAAATGGTCTCCTTTGATTTCATCGAGGTTGGTTAGTGAGAGCGTGCAAATTAGAAAATCATTCAAACATCGTAGAATTTAAAACGTCCACATCATCAGCTAAATTTCCTGTGTAAAAAGTGAATTGCAGCACTTCATGAATAAATGTCGTCTAGATGGTGACTGACTACGCGGAGGACGCTGTCGCTGCCGTCGCCACCACTAACAGCAATAAAAATAACAGCAAAACCTGCGAATCCTAAGCTCAAATCACAGATGGATTGAGGTACAAAAATCGGGCTGCTCACCTTGTCGTTGTATGCGCCATTCAATGGCAGGATGTATTTATTGTCCGAGTAAACATCCAATCGGCCAGAAACCGGATTATCAATACCCACTCGAACCGCGTAGGTCGGATCTGGTTGAAGCATGCTCAACCGGATCTTTTGCGGCGGTGTTCCAGTGAAATATAGTACGAAATTCTGATTTCGTGCAACGATTGCCAAGAACGCACTAAGTCGTTTCAAGCACGCGTAACTGGAACAACGTCCATGATCAGCCGGTCCGTTGATCAGGTCCAGATAGTTTGCCTTCATTTAGTTATTTCAGCATGGAGGAAATTTAAGACAGGATGCAAATTATGTACGCCATCTTGTGTAATAAATAATTTTGGGAAAAAATGAATACATGATTCTGAAATTCTCATTAAAACCATGCTCTTAGAAATGCTCTAGAAATAAAAAAAGTTTCTTTTTCCGGGGGGGGGGGGGGAGAGGGCAGGCGGACTGTTTTGTTTTCCTTTGACAGAAATCTTTGATATAATGAATCGATGTTTCGTAAGATTTTAGCAAAAGTGACAATCCAGCAGCACTCAATGCTTTTTGAGCCGAGAGGGGGTCTTCTCTGATATTTGTAATATAACTGGGAGGCTGTATGGCAGCAGCAAGATTTTGTCACGGAGTTCCTTATGAGTTCGGAAACTATTCGACAGGTGTAAATGGGATCCAGGTCTCCATAAATTCCATTTGGTCGAGTTGTTTTCCTCCGTAGACATTGGAACGGGTATTAGATATACCTACTCTTTCATGCCCTTGTCGAGGGTTTCCGTTCTCGACTACCCTACACCTGGTCTGTGTAACAGATTGACGGCTGGGAGGGCTGATGCGTATTTTCTTCTCATAAGAGGGAAAGGTGAACTTTGAGCTGCTGATAGATACCAAAGAGATGGAATACATCCCCAATAGAAATGACAACTAACTAGTTCAGGGATATTACTCTCATCAGACCGCGCCATATTCTTCCTGAAAATTTCAGTCTCGTAGATCGTCAAATAGTCTTTTCTGGGTACACATTATGACATATTCGTAGCTCAATCATTCCAATGTTAGTCAACATTTTAAAGCAATCATCAAATTGGGTGACACGGGTACAATGAAGCACTGACCCCAAGACTATCAGTGGCGAATGCAACTGGAGCTATTCTGCGTAGAATTCGATCTTCGTCCAAAGACTCGATCAGCAGAACCCTGTGATCAAGAACCGCACTGCATTTGTACGCTTGCATGGTGCTCACCATTTCACAGGTATCGTCACGTATTACACCTTTAGCGGAAAAATAAAGAAGATACAGAGAGAGGGAGATAGAGACTTAAAAACACGTGTCAGATAGAACTGCTATGGCTAGCAGAAATATTGGTCTCCAAACTGGAAAATCACCAGCTGTGGGGCATTATTTACCAACCTGCGCTGGGCTGTAGTTATGTTGACGAAATTTTGAGCCCTTTCAACCGAAAAGTTTTACCCAGTAAAATAATACGATAATATTTATTTGAAGTGTAAACCTAAATGTAGGAAGAAAAGGAATTCCATTTTATCAACCTAAGCGGACGAAAGAGGCCAATAAATAAACAGACAGAGAGGCAGACAGGCAGAGAGACGGACGGACAGACGGATAGATAAACAGATAGATAGATAGATAGATAGATAGATAGATAGATGGATAGATAGATAAATTAGTAAGTAAATAGATACCCAATACAGGAGGACTCTTGCCGGCCACCCAGAACCCACAGAATCTAGCCCAACGAAGAAGTAGAGGAGGAAATTGAGGAAGACAAGCACACTCTTCCAATTGATTGACTATTACTCCAGAAACAAGTACAGTGCAAAGAAGAGTTGTTCCTACGATTGCCTCTAAAGGCGATGTGAGAAGCCAGAGACTCGGAAAACGACTAGAAAATGCGATTACCCCACTAATCGAGGCGCTACGCAACAATCAGCGTTCATCATAAAGCCACTGTTATGCAGGAATGTCAACGGTAAGTTACTACTCCTCCTTTCATCAATGATTGCTTATTCATTTACTTTACACCTGCATGGTGAGCTGAGTAAGCCGGACAACAGGGCGTTTGTCGCAAGGAATCAAAAAGCACATTGACTGCATAAAAAGAGCCAGACACGCATTCGGGGCCCACTTCGCCGAAAAAGGGCTTCAAATTGACGAATAAAATATCAAATTCATTGATCAATTAACATCGATTAGATCAAAGCTCGCAAAACAACACCAGTTAGCCAAAGTGGAAGCAGTAGCAACTAAACAGCTATTCCCGGCCTCGAGTTGACCTGCTTAGTTAATCTGTCCCTGACACGAAGAAGATAACGTCAAAACGCAAAGGTTAATGGAACATCACAGAGTGATGACAATAAGCATCCTGCTTCCTCCACCCGGCCTTTCTGTGTATCTTTACCTCGCGTGTTTTTATCATTTGATGAATAATTTTACATAAATTGTTTCCAATTTACTGACACCCGCACTCCAAAGTAATTTGCATATAAATAGATATGTAACTGTAAGTACCCAAAGACGAGGTTATGAAAACAAACTCGTTCCTATTGGATTGGTATTCTGAATACCAAATTGAAATATTCCGTAAACTGGTTCAATTTACCAATGGAATAACAAATTTACAGTGGTCAGAGACTTCAACCTCTTTGATTGCAGTATGGAGACTAGCACCGTCTGAATATGAGAATGTGTTTTAAATGATAAATATCATATTCTTGTACAGGACAATAAGTAGCATGCGAATGACCGGACAAAGCACAAGATTAGCTTTGCAGTCCTTACCGTCAACAGGGCAATAAACTAATCAGTATAATACTATCAAAAATCGATCGTGGTGTTCATTTTTCTGGAGCTGGATCCATTCAACCAAACAGAACTGACGTAGAAACCTTGCAATGATCTTTTCAGGTGATTTCATCTCAAACGAACTCCATACGATACAAAGGAGGTTCTTTTTACTTGCCATTGATGAACAGTCTTTGCCAATTTGTAGAAATGATACCAGAGTCTGTG